ATTGAGCATGATATCCAATACTGACACATTAGCTTACCGGTATGTCCTGAGAGAAGTGTCAACACCACACAAGAGCTACTGGTCACAGTCGGTCATGTCTTTCCAAGGATTAAAGATTAAAAAAAATATATATTTAACAAAATGTTTGATATGACCCCCAACTCAAAATGCTTCACAGTAGAATAAATCATAATGTCTTATGTAGCTCTATGAGCATACACTTTGTTTATTATTATGATCTATTGAACTGTGAAGCATTTCAAGTCGGGGGGTCATCTCATTTTTTTGTAATCTTTAATGCTCACAAAGACACAAGGCTCTGTGGATAGGGCAGGACACAATATGCTTTCCCTTCTTTCCCTTTCATGAATACTTGGTGTCATCACACTTCAGATTGTAAAAAGAATACTCTTTCATCACCTGCCCTGGTGTCATCACACTTCAGATTGTAGAACAGAACACTCTTTCATCACCTGCCCTGGTGTCATCACACTTCAGATTGTAAAACAGAACACTCTTTCATCACCTGCCCTGGTGTCATCACACTTCAGATTGTAAAATAGAACACTCTTTCATCACCTGCCCTGGTGTCATCACACTTCAGATTGTAAAATAGAACACTCTTTCATCACCTGCCCTGGTGTCATCACACTTCAGATTGTAAAACAGAACACTCTTTCATCACCTGCCCTGGTGTCATCACACTTCAGATTGTAAAACAGAACACTCTTTCATCACCTGCCCTGGTGTCATCACACTTCAGATTGTAAAACAGAACACTCTTTCATCACCTGTCCTGGTGTCATCACACTTCAGATTGTAAAAAAGAACACTCTTTCATCACCTGCCCTGGTGTCATCACACTTCAGATTGTAAAACAGAACACTCTTTCATCACCTGCCCTGGTGTCATCACACTTCAGATTGTAAAACAGAACACTCTTTCATCACCTGCCCTGGTGTCATCACACTTCAGATTGTAAATCACCACTCTTTCATCACCTGCCCTGTGTCATCACACTTCAGATTGTAAAATAGATCACATGCCCTGGTGTCATCTCACACTTCAGATTGTAAAATAGAACACTCTTTCATCACCTGTCCTGGTGTCATCACACTCAGATTGTAAAACAGAACACTCTTTCAGATTGTCAACACTTCAGATTGTAAAACAGAACACTCTTTCATCACCTGCCCTGGTGTCATCACACTTCAGATTGTAAAACAGAACACTCTTTCATCACATGCCCTGGTGTCATCACACTTCAGATTGTAAAATAGAACACTCTTTCATCACCTGCCCTGGTGTCATCACACTTCAGATTGTAAAATAGAACACTCTTTCATCACCTGCCCTGGTGTCATCACACTTCAGATTGTAAAATAGAACACTCTTTCATCACCTGCCCTGGTGTCATCACACTTCAGATTGTAAAATAGAACACTCTTTCATCACCTGCCCTGGTGTCATCACACTTCAGATTGTAAAACAGAACACTCTTTCATCACCTGCCCTGGTGTCATCACATTTCAGATTGTAAAACAGAACACTCTTTCATCACCTGTCCTGGTGTCATCACACTTCAGATTGTAAAAGAACAGTCTTTCATCACCTGCCCTGGTGTCATCACACTTCAGATTGTAAAATAGAACACTCTTTCATCACCTGCCCTGGTGTCATCACACTTCAGATTGTAAAATAGAACACTCTTTCATCACCTGCCCTGGTGTCATCACACTTCAGATTGTAAAATAGAACACTCTTTCATCAGCTGCCCTGGTGTCATCACACTTCAGATTGTAAAACAGAACACTCTTTCATCACCTGCCCTGGTGTCATCACACTTCAGATTGTAAAAAGAACAGTCTTTCATCACCTGCCCTGGTGTCATCACACTTCAGATTGTAAAACAGAACACTCTTTCATCACATGCCCTGGTGTCATCACACTTCAGATTGTAAAATAGAACACTCTTTCATCACCTGCCCTGGTGTCATCACACTTCAGATTGTAAAACAGAACACTCTTTCATCACCTGCCCTGGTGTCATCACACTTCAGATTGTAAAACAGAACACTCTTTCATCACCTGCCCTGGTGTCATCACACTTCAGATTGTAAAACAGAACACTCTTTCATCACCTGCCCTGGTGTCATCACACTTCAGATTGTAAAACAGAACACTCTTTCATCACCTGCCCTGGTGTCATCACACTTCAGATTGTAAAATAGAACACTCTTTCATCACCTGCCCTGGTGTCATCACACTTCAGATTGTAAAATAGAACACTCTTTCATCATGCCCTGGTGTCATCACTTCAGCAGAACCTCTTTCATCACCTGCCCTGGTGTCATCACACTTCAGATTGTAAAACAGAACACTCTTTCATCACCTGTCCTGGTGTCATCACACTTCAGATTGTAAAAAAGAACACTCTTTCATCACCTGCCCTGGTGTCATCACACTTCAGATTGTAAAATAGAACACTCTTTCATCACCTGCCCTGGTGTCATTACACTTCAGATTGTAAAATAGAACACTCTTTCATCACCTGCCCTGGTGTCATCACACTTCAGATTGTAAAATAGAACACTCTTTCATCACCTGCCCTGGTGTCTTAGTGAAAGACAGTGGGGTACAATATTAAACAGGAAAATGATGTTGCAGATTCAATTAACATCATGCAGTTTTCACTTACAAAAGTCATTAATTTCACCCTTTACTGAACAGTAGATGCATATTGAAGGACATATATATCTTTGATGATATGACACATTTCAGTTAGGCAAGAAAAGCATTCTGCCAGAATGCCAAAGGCATGGATGCCAGTAATTGAGAGATTCTTATCATTGGATTTTTATTGAAAAAAAATGATTAATTTAATCCATAAAAAAACAACATTAGATGCATATTATAAGACATTTGTAAATCTTTGGGGATGTAACACTCTTCAGTTCAGTTAGAAAGTTGAGGGCGTTCTCCCCGATTGCCCAGGGCATGTGTGCCAGCATCTGTGTTTCCAGCTTTCTACTTTTTTAAGAAACCGCAAGAACAATAGGATGACAGACTAGAAAAACAGAATAATCCCGACTTGGGATAACACATGCAGACATTCAACTTTAATTAAAGATTATAACCAAAATGTAAGACCTCTTACTTTGAAATGATAATATTTGTATCACATGTGACATGACCATTGGTCCAGAGGTTCCGAAATGTCTGACAATATTTAACATTTTCTTTCACAGTGACAGTTGCATATTCCCTGGAGTATGATATGAAGAATTCTGTGACAGCCATGAGCAGTGCCTGCTGGAACTAACTCAATTACCATTACTTATATTGGAATCATTTCTAAACTTGGAAGCAACCAGTGTAAAAAACACTCTGTCAGATATATCAATTAGTGTAGAATGTCCCAGTGTTCAAAGTGCATCAAGACACCATTGAACATTCTTGGAATTATCTAGTGGTTTGGGGAGAGATGCCTTTTTATGCTTTCAGTGTATGTTTCTATATGGTTGGAAAAATGTGAAGCACTGCATTTGTTTTTGTGTGTCCTGGAGGTCAACACATCAGTTGGAAATATAATTTGGCTTTGCTATCCTTTGAAAGATATGTATGTCTCCACCAATACTTTCGGAAAAGGACCGCCTCCGTGGTGTAGTGGTTAGAGCGTCCACCAGCGAGAGCGGAAGGTCGCGGGTTCGATCCCCGACCACGTCATACCAAAAGATGTTAAACTATGGTACTTGTTGGTCCCTGCCTGGCGCTCGGCATTAATGGGTACAACAAGGACTGGTCGGCTCGGAGTCAGTATAATGGGTCTGAGTGGGGTATTCATGCTTCACTGCGGCATGGTGTCTCAGTGGGCTAGCACTATAAAACCAGCTTAAGTCTGGGCTAGTACAAGCAGCCGCACATACACATACACATGCATGCACGTCGTCATATGAGCGAAATATTCTCAAGCACGACGTTAAAACCCAATTTCACCTCACCTTCACCTCACTTTCGGAAACAGGTTCTCAGATGATTGCAACTATCAAGTCATATCGTAAGATTTGAAGAAATAGAGAAAGAAATTAATAAGAGAGTCAATATATAATCTTGCCCTTGAACAGTTTCAATTGTTTCATGAGTTTGTTTTTAGTGAACACAATATAAATATTTAACAGAGAAACATACTATTCACACTTTGCTAAGGATCAAATCATTGATTCAACAGAAAACTATGATGTGGGGTTGAATTTAGTTTAAATATCTAAGCTTATTGTAAGCATGGATCCTAGGTTTCAGTATGTCACTGCATCTTGTGAATCCCATACCTGCTATTGACATGTGTTGTTTATTTGTCAATGACCCGTTCCATGATTGCAAAATGGTTGATTGGTGCCATGAAAACCATTTTTATGGTTACTCATGTATGAAGTGCATAATGTTAGACTAAAGTGGCTGTTTGCCTAAAGAGGGGTTACCATATCATTATTTATCTAGTTTTAAATGGATATAATTTCAAATTGTGTATTTATGTTTAAGTAAAGTTGGGAATTTTTGTGATCCTTAACAAAGTGTGAGTAGTATATATAGTGGTGATAAATCTTTTCCATGTGTATATGATAGATGATAGCAAGCTTGAAGCAATTGTGTCACAAAGTAACTGTAAGAGACACAGTGTGGTTTAGGTAGGTGATTGCAGTTTTAGGTGTGCAATGTTCAGATCATGACACCGAAATACATGGGACCTCAGACTAGTGGCTGATAGCATGAGCACAGGTTGTGCTATGGGGCATAGTGACCCACAATCAGTGGTTGACAGCATGAACAACAAGCTATGCCATGTTAACTGTGTGCGAAATAGCCACTGGCCTGTGTCTAGTAAAAATCCAGTCGGGCCAGTAAATCTCCACAGTCACTGGCATGTGAATTTTCATGAATTCAGATATGTGTTTTCTTATTTGTTTTTGATGGTATTTTACCTTTTGGATTAGTTTCTACATTCAAATTTCGGGCTAACAAATTATTTAGTGGGCCACTAACTTTCTAGCATAGCTATCCGACTGGCTAGCAAAATTCGGAAACTATTTCACACACTGCATGATAATGATTCAATAGCAGTCTGAGATGTGGATTAGCAGTCTGTCCACATAGTTCTTATGTTTCTACCTCTGTACACCAAACCAATCAAGTCAGGTCATAAAATAAACAACCTATCCTCATTAGCCATTTTTAGGAAGCATTTGGAACTTGTCCTGTTCCTGCACAATAGTTCCCAAAGAGGTTGGTTTAAGAACATACCATCCATCATGTTCAATATAAGGTTTATTTTCTTCATATACACAACATATATTGCTTGGATATCAAATGCAACGGAATCACTTGCAACTCATTAAGTCATCAATGAAGGTTGAGTGTAACAGCTGTATTTTACAGAACATTTAACCAATATGTAGCAGCTGACATTGTGACAAGATCCAGGAAGAATGATCACATCACTCCTCTTGTATACTTTCTACACTGGCTGCCCGTGGATTTCAGAATTCAGTTTAAACTTCTTTGCCTTGTCTTCCGCTGTCTGTCTGGAACTGCCCCTACATATTTATCCAGTCTTCTTTCTCTGTACAAGCCTTCTCGTTCGCTCTGTTCACAAGATAAAAGTCTTCTTCTTGTCCCTAAAACTAGAACAGTGCAGTATGGAAACAGATCCTTTGCCTATGCAGCACCAGTGGCCTGGAACAAACTTCCACAGAATCTCAGGGACTGTACTGACTTTGTCACTTTCAAATCCCAGTTAAAAAACACATTTGTTCAGGACAGCCTTTTCAACTATAACTGTGTAATTTGTTACATTCTATCTGCGCTTTGAGCATGGACTGCATGGATACCAGCGCATTACAAATGTGTTATGATGATGATGATGCTTATTCAGAGCTGCTTAGTCAGCGGAAGCAATATATTACATTACTGCATTGTGTAGAATATGATATGATTTCCGCTTCTGGATAATGTTGCAAAATATAGAATAAAACATTGAAAAGAAAATATTTGTAAAATGTTCATTGTTAAAAGTTATCTGATCCAAACATCATTTGATTCATGAAACTCTGGCAGCTTGGCATGTCTAGATATTTTGTGAAGTCGTTTTTAAGAAATATTTTTTTTATATACATTTTAAAACAAATTTACCATTTTTCGTAAGATATTTTCAGTTTAAAGTCAGAATTTTAGTCAACAGAAGGGTTGCTAATAATTAGTTTCTACAGAATGGAGTTCTTTGTTGTCAGAATAGACACACATAACAGTCAATTTCACAAAGTCAACTATTGCCCTGAGTACCACACAGCTTTAAGTGGCAGTGGCCATTGTTATGTTTGTTGTTGATGTTCACACAGGGCCTATGTTCCAGATATATGGTGTTTATGATGTTAAACTACCCAGCAGAATCAGCACCTCAGCTGAGACAAAGGAATACTGATCATGTACATATTTATCACATACCAAATCCACACCCAGAAGCATGCTTAAAGCACTAGGTTAGTACCAAGTCATCACATCGGTGTACACACAATTTTCATTTTCAGCTCCCTGGGGAGAGTACAACCCAAGCTGTGTGTGAAGGGTGAGAAGGTTAACAGTCACATTACCATCTCATCCTACTCAGTATCCATTCACTGCTGAGTGAACTGAGTCATATTTTGAATAAACTCACTTGCTAAAGTAGTCACCAAATGTGACATGTCCAAAGCTCTTGGAACTCTCAGGAATTGAGCTGCCAAACTTGGTCATCCATCCATCTTCTTTTTGAGACCAGCGTTGATTAACTTCACCCATGTTGTGATGTGCACTGTGTGAAGACCAACCATCATCACATTCTGACAATTTGATTTACACATATAATCAATATTTTTTCAAAAGAACACCATAAACTCTGTTAATATGCTATCCCTTTATTTTTGTTTCTGGATTTTTTGTGAAAAAGGACAAAATTAATTGAAAAAAATAGATATTTGTTTAATTCTTTAACTTTCTGTAACCTTTTGCAACCAATTGTTACCTATTATTACATTAAGTTACAATTTGTTACCTTGTGTTACCTTTGGTAACCTGTGGTAACTGATTGCTACCAACTGTCTCTCAGTTTCACCTGCATGCCAAACAATTCATTTAACACATAACCTTCCCTTCAACAGAATAAAAAATAAAATGAAGCAATGTTTTTCAGTTCACAGTTTCCACTTGTTTTTCCAGGATTGTGGACTCCACATACCAATTACAAAAGGGTGTTATCCTTCAGCTGTGGTATACTGAATGGCTTCACTGCCAAACAGGTAACTGCTGGAAATTGTTGTCAGACATTTCTGTATCTCTATGTTCTTCTTTCATAACAAAATAACAAGATTTAAGCCGCCCCTCCCACCCAGCAGCACTTTATAACATAACATTACCTTTCTTTTTATTTCATTGTTAAGGTGTAAATCCATGGCAACAAAAGGAATTTAGGGGAAATTGAAGATTTAGGCTTTACGAGGTGGCTAAGCAGAATGTTGGCTAATGAAAATTGTTTCCATAAGCTTGTATGAAAGATGAAGATTTATGAATCAATACTGGATGTAGGCAATCAAGATGAAGGCTTTTTTTGCTTGTTTCAAATGGTGACATTAGTCACACATGTGGCATGATTTATTGATGTTTCTTTTCAGAGGAGTTGAACAGAGTGTACCCTGGATATAACAAACATGATCAATCTTGCATGTCTACCATACAGGTAATCCCAGTTTTGACATGAGCTGGGTGACCAAGGCCAAATACTTTGGTAAATTGAAGGTCAAAATAAACTACAACTTTAAAAGTTTGTAAATATGAATGTCATCTTCTTTTCAGATTCAAAATTTGCTCATTGTGGAATATCATCTTTGCAGGTTTGAGTTAAACTGAAACACAATTACATCCCAGTTTATATGAACGATAATCATGATAACTGATTTTGTATTCAACTAGTATCCATTGACAGGTGCTCACTGGCGCTAAGTTGAAACACACATAGATTGGACGGGTTTGTTGCTTAACTCATTATTAAATCAAGTGGTTGTAGTTGACTTTTCTGTCCTGTTTCAAAAACAGCTAAAACGTCTTGTAGCAAAGTACTTTCTTCATGCTATCTATAGTTTCTAGGAAAACGTCTTTTTGAGCTAAATATTCATCCATAAGAATCTATTGGCTCACTCAAAGACGCTGATGATTGTATGCGATGAATTCATGTTTAGTAAAACATTTTGAATGGATGTTGATTTCAAACTCATAGGCAACATACAAGTTTATGATATGAGTGAGTTATCAGGGTCTAACAGTGTTAGTTTCAAATGGTAAGAAAACACAAATGGATGCAGGTCTTATAGATGTTACCTCTTTGGTGAAACCCAGGAGCATGGGTATTATGCTGGGTATTATGCTGGGTGTTATGCTGGGGTATTATGCTGGGTGTTATGCTGGGTATTATGCTGGGTGTTATGCTGGGTATTATGCTGGGTGTTATGCTGGGTGTTATGCTGGGTGTTATGCTGGGTATTATGCTGGGTGTTATGCTGGGTGTTATGCTGGGTGTTATGCTGGGTGTTATGCTGGCTGGGTATTATGCTGGTTAGTTATGCTGGGTGTTATGTGGGTATGCTGGGTGTTATGCTGGGTGTTATGCTGGGTTTATGGGTGTTATGCTGGGTGTTATGCTGGGTGTTATGCTGGGTGTTATGCTGGGTGCTGGGTATGCTGGGTGTTATGCTGGGTGTTATGCTGGGTATTATGCTGGGTGTTATGCTGGGTGTTATGCTGCTGTTATGCTGGGTATTATGCTGGGTGCTGGGTATGCTGGGTGTTATGCTGGGTGTTATGCTGGGTATTATGTGGGTATTATGCTGTTTATGCTGGGTGTTATGCTGGGTGTTATGCTGGGTGTTATGCTGGGTGTGGGTGTTATGCTGGGTATTATGCTGGGTGTTATGCTGGGTGTTATGCTGGGTGTTATGCTGGGTGTTATGCTGGGTGTTATGCTGGGTGTTATGCTGGGTGTTATGCTGGGTGTTATGCTGGGTGTTATGCTGGGTGTTATGCTGGGTGTTATGCTGGGTGTTATGCTGGGTGTTATGCTGGGTGTTATGCTGGGTGTTATGCTGGGTGTTATGCTGGATAAACCTGGGGACATAATCAGGGTGAACCAGGATTCTAAGCCACAATCATAAGATTCTGTCATGCCAAAGGGACACAACTCTGCACAATGAATGGTGACTGGGCCGCTAGTACCCACTCATGATCAGAGAGATGGAACTTCCAGGACGAAGCAGAGCTAGAGGAGGTATTCAGGGTATACATCATCATAGCACAAAAACATGAAATACTGGATAGACAAGCATCCCTAGTGTTCTTCAAAGTACCTTTTGTGTCTACCTACTGTATAACTGACTGCTTGGCATTCAAAGACTGACCGTTTGCCTAGTGAGTTGAAGGCTGGTGGTCTGATCCCCGCTGTGAACCAAAAGATGGTAACAGATTGTACTTGTTACCCAGCCTGGCGGTAGTCAGCGAGGGGATAAGAACAAGGACTGGTAATTTTTACTGTGTCTTAGTCAGGTATGAAAACTAATCTGAGACATGGTATTGTAGTGAGCTAGCCCAATAAAACCAGCATTAGTCCGGACTGGTTCCAGCAGCCGCACACATGCACCATGACACATGTATATCACTACAGAGGTATAAAAATCTTGAACAGAAAGCTAAACCCCATTTCACATCACCTCACCTCTGCTGTATCACTAACGAGGCTGGTGCTGTCTTCAGGGTGAATGTCAGGAATCTCATTTGTTGTCTGTAATGAGTGCAGGAATTCAGGTAAAAGTCAGGTGGTCTGCCCTGGTCATTACATTGAGCACCATGCAGGTACATACGTTTTGGCAGTTCCATGGTGGCAATGCATCATAATAAAAAAACAAGATGTCGAATTCCTGTTGTTCTTGAGTTCTAGAACGTAAACATTAATATCTGTATATACATTGATATCTGTAACATACATTGGTGTTTTTGTTTTTGTTTGTTTGTTGTTTAATATCTGTACATACATTGATATCTCTAAATAAATCAAGACTGTCCAGACAATCCAGATTGATCAAAAGCATGTATGATGACATACATTCAGATATCTCCCGTTATTTGCCTCTCATGACAAGCATGGGTTGGTGAATGTAATTCTTACCTGGATCTTCACGGGTTATCAGACACATGTAGTTCTGTTTATTTGGTTGTTTGGTCTGTCTGTCCATTCATTCGTTTGTTCATTTGTTTGTTTATTTGTTTGTTTATTCATTTGTTCGTTCGTATTAGTGAAACAGCTGTCGAAAGGTTATATATTAAATGTGAAACTAGACAATATATTTTCAATATGAATTGAATAATTCTTTGTACCATTGTGCTGTTTGTATGTAACTATTGTACTACATTGAAGAGCAAGAGCTGTTGTGTTTCACTGGTGTTAGGAACTGTTGAAACATTGATATCAGTACATACATTGATATCTGTACATACATTGATATCTGTACATACATTGATATCTGTACATACATTGGTATCTGTATTACATATTAGATAGTCAACATCCAGATTGATTAACATGTACATAAATTGATATCTGTACATACATTGATATCTGTATATACATTGATATCTGTATATACATTGATATCTGTACATACATTGATATCTGTACATACATTGATATCTGTACATACATTGA